AATTCCGTGAGCTCGGTGAAATTCGGTTCCCTCCCTAAAAGATCGATAATCACATCCTCATCCGCCCATCGCTGATGTACTTCAGCCAGGAGGAATCGTACTATTGCTTCTAGGGTGTGTAGTGCATTCAAATCTGCTTCGTAACTCATTGAGGTCAGGGCAATGAAACAGTTTTGCATCTTCAATACCAGTCGCACAAACGATTCAAGTTCGTTTCTAGCTTTACGGGCCTCGGTTAGCACCCCATCTATGAGCGTCCGTGCCACGTTAAACGGTTGACCTTCCTTCAGAATATCCCTTGCTATGCTGTACCCAATTTTGTTTGGCGGCATTACATATTCATCGATAGCGTCCCGGGCCTTCCCGCGGCAGTAATGCTTTAGATGCAGGAACTTCTGTCCTGGATCGGCGACCCGACACTCGACGAAATTATCAATTTCTCTAATGAATCTCCAATAGTTGCTGGGGTTCCCGTCGAATGGTGTTAGCTCCACCTTGGGCAGGTCCATCGACCTGTGGTGGTACATTATTTCAGTCGGTGGTTAGGTCACTTCCAGCGTCAGTCTAATGGGCAGGGTCGCGGTGTCCTTAGTCGAGCAACGTTGCCTAGCTTCTGATTCCCTGAGCTTCATCGACCTAATCTCCTGCTCTAACTCTGCAATCTTACGGGGATATATATCAGACATCTTAATATTGGCATGCTATTCTAGGGCACATGAATTCCTAGCACTAACAGGACTAACTGAATTACAAATGTGAGAATCAGAGACACCCCAAAATCCCAAGTGACTTGCCGGGTAACTTTCTGTGTACGTCAACCAATTCGCACTTGAGTGACACGTAGCCGAATCGATACGAATCCCGAAGTAAAAATACAATTGATCCGCAATGTTCTACGATACTGAATTAACGAAATCATTACTAAATGTACAATAAAGCAAACCTCAAATATGCCGCCAAAAGCACGCAAGCAAGCGAGCCAAATATGATGTCCAGAGAGAGGCAAACAGTCGCTCCCGTTCTCTGACCACGCCAAATTCAAATGTGCCGGGCATTCAAATTAACAGATAAATAATTATGTGGGTTTTGTGATCGAGAAATGTCAATATAAGAGCAACACACAGATAAAGTTATTTCACCATAAACCATTATGGGTTCGGAAGGACTTTCAAACAATTCAGCATGAAACACATCCTGTCCTCCATCCTTGATCCCTCCTTAGTCAAACGACATTGTCTTGTTAAAATTTGCATAAATTTGAATGCTGCGCCTCCAAAATAGTTCAATGAGTAACGCGTTGCTAAAATCAGATCCCAAAACGTCAAGAAAACGAACGATCCAGCAAGGTTCTACGGTACTGCAATAATGAACGATGAAATAAGCAAATAAAATATATGCAAACCTCAAAATGATCTCGATACAACTTGAAAACAAGAGCCAAGTGTTACTGTGAGGGTAATCCAACAAATCTAAACGGACGAAAATGAGCCTGCACAAGATTATCATGCTCATCTTCACGCTGCACACGAACGAGTCAAATGCAAGCACTCAGGTCGCGATTAAATAAATAGGGTACGAATGAAGTAATAAAACAAACAAAGTCAGATAGTGGGATTGATTTTTCAACATACAAGGGAGATGGAACGTCAAATGACCATGTATATATGAGACGGATGTTAAGTGAATGGAACGTGAAATTTACGAAATGTGCAACCAAGGTGGAATGATTGGGTTTCACAGGAAGGATTTTCAGAGATCTATCAATACAAAAACATATGTACGCTTCCAAAAGTTTTCGTACGGTGGATTAACTGATCAGCCCTCTGCTACACCCAGCAAAACTGCTGTTGTGCAAGCAAGCTCCCGGGAAAGCGCCTGTTTAGGGATATCAATTCACTGGCTTAGTGTAACGGTGGTTTTCATCTACTGGATGTAACCAAAACGGCAAACCACCCACTACCTGCAAGAAACGTACTAACAACATCTAGATCTTTGTGATTCCAACAGTATTCATTCACGTAATCGGGTATGAAGGTGCATTCGATACCTGATAATCTACACCAAGGAAACTTCTGATGATAAGATTACGGGGGACACCGGAAGCTGATGGAATGCATCTCTTGCTAGGGCCTGCTGCGGTGTCGAAACAAGCCTTAGAGATACTCATAGAAAAAAATCAGCAAATCTCACCTTTGCATTTTCCATTTACGATCATAGCCTTGCAGGATTTCGGTTGAACAACTGATTCCACTATTTGTCTCAATGTTACGTCCGAATCCGTTTCGTGCAACCCACTGATATAAAGGTTGGTCTTCGATGTCACAGAGGNAGACAAGCCTTAGAGATACTCATAGAAAAAAATCAGCAAATCTTACCTTTGCATTTTCCATTTACGGTCATAGCCTTGCAGGATTTCGGTTGAACAACTGATTCCACTATTTGTCTCAATGTTTCGTCCGAATCCGTTTCGTGCAACCCACTGATATAAAGGTTGGTCTTCGATGTCACAGAGGGACGAGGACGACGATTTAGCTGGAGGTGAAATAGGATGTTCGAGATTTAAATCATCGTACAGCAGGATACAACTAAGTGAACAGCACGCTACAACAGTGGTGTGAAATGTACAAGCAATCCACTCGTCACATACGCCAGATAGCCTGTGGTGCAAAAACTAACGCTATAGTCATAACTGAAACTTAAACCACTTGCCACGATGTAGAAATGTGCTCAATTGGCCTCAGTTGAATAACCTGCTCACCTGATTCATCAATGTAGGACCGAAGTGCCGTAGTGGATCGCAGTTACGTGCGGCGTTGGACGCAGCAACAGCTGCGGCAGCGAGAGCCGCCTGAGGATGAGGCGGAACAGTGGTCATTTGTTGGGGTATGTTATTAAGGAACCCATTGCACAGGGATGGCAGCAAAGACGATGTTAGATATGGCATCGACTGACCATACGGCAATGATGTTTGAGGGATGGTGCAACAGTTTTGCATCGAGTAGGATTGAGTCAACGCGACGTTTTGAAAGGAGCGATCGTTAGACGCCACTTGATCCGATGTGGGGTGCACGGTGTAACCCAAAGGGACATGGGGACTGTAAGTTCCATTACCCGAGTGAATTGATGAAGAAGGGAATACGGAAGAGACGTGATTAACGCTTGGAGTAGATCTGTTATAGGCTTGAGGTATAGGCCCCATAACCCCTGGTAGAAGCCGATCCACAGACAGCGTTGGAGCGCCGGGCAATTGTCCCGAGCCGGTAGGGAACGCAGCCCATGGCTGTGAACCCAGACTGGACACTGGTGAACCTGATGGGAGCTAGATGTGCAACAGAAGAGTAACCATAACCATGTAAGCTCAGTGAAATCAATGTGGACACAAAGTTAACATAAATCAATAGAACGACCAACACGGCAAAGAAGGGAACTCACCATGAGCCAGTGTATTTGCTTTCACGGAGAGCTGCAAATAAATTAAAATCCAGAGTAGAGTAGAGCATAGACATTCCACAATTAAGAACGAACCATGCGCTTTCGTGTGCCGGTTTCGGTTGCTGTCTTTCGACTATCCATTCGGATGGAACAGTAGAAAAGTCATGGAGATTTGACCAAATCCTCTATTACCCGCATGAGATAATCAGTCAGGTTGTGAATGTTTCCAACCGAGTCATAACCCTGGAGACTAGTGCTGAGTTGAGCAGGGTCCGTGGCCCGCAACAAACTTTTAAAGATGGGTTGTGCCATAACGTGTAAATGAAAAATGAAAAACGGTCCAATCAGCTGCCGGGTGGCGTAATGGGTAGAACGCTTGTGTTCTGCCCATGAAGTCCCGGGTTCGATCCCCAGTCGGGTCGATGGATTCGCATTGCTGATGAGACCCAACCAGGTCGAAACAGCTGTCCAGCGCTTCCGAGCTTCTCAGTTCACGCTTCATTTGCTATATTCACCACGAATTCCCATTTGAAAGTGGTAGCCGAAAGTGGAAAATTTGCGGACTAAGGTTGCAAATAAACTGAAATGTACGATCGCCACTGTATATGACATCTGGCCATGACACTCAGCGTCTCCAACTACCGGTTACCATAATCCCGAGGTCCCCTTTCAGGGGGACTAACGAGACTATGTGACCCAGTCTGCACGTTGGGGATTTCATACCCTCTTGCCAGGTCTTAGTTTGACCGCCTCAACTTTTTCCACTGACTGTCTTAGCAACCATTTTGGTGACATGTGCAATACACCCCCTAAGCGGTGCAATCTATGGGGAATGACCACTTGCTCCGGTGAACGACCGCGGTTGCCTAAACCCACGCCTAGCACTGCTCGTTCGGATGCCCCAATAGATTCGTACAATGCTGTGTACACAGCGGTGTTCAAAACACGGTAATCTAAATTTAATGTTTCAGCAATGGTTGAAGTTCTGCGCTGTACAGCAGAACTAGCCACAGTCCACACCCAACTCTTCGACAGCCGGGTGTCGCGGCGGCGCCATATGTCTCACGTCGTATGTGCCAGCCGAACTTTCTGTATGCCAGCTGACACTTCATCCGTGATGCACCCACCGGGTGACATGTAACTTCCCAAATAACAAAACCTTTCCATCTGAGACTAAGGTTAGCTACAATTAGTGTCAACATACCAGGCGTCACATTGGAGGATTGGGACAACTGGACAAGTAACTTAAACTCAAGATTCGATTCAAACCTAACGACATAGAGACCATTCAATGGACAGCGAGCTTAGTCGACAGCATCAACACTGAAGAAAGCGAGATAGGTCAAATTGATCGGCGTATTTAAAAGGGCAAATGATAATTGAAGCAAACTGCAATACAACCACCTAACCGAACAACCAGCCAAAGTTCATAAATGAGGTGATGTGATAAGACATGAATTTAAGATTTTATCTGGCACGAAAGTTTTCAAGCACATGGAGGAAGGTAAAAATAACTTTCAAATGACATGGAGAGGTAAATCTCACCTTCAGAAAAAGTTTTTATGGACCAAACTCCTTGATCTAAAAATAACAGATCCAGAAAATATCATGGCCGCCAATTTAATAGGACAAGTTTGCCATCCTCAAGTTGACCTTGACGCAGTTCAGGTTGAAAAATAACCGCTCACTCCAGGTCAGGTTAGGTCGATTCAAGGGACGTAGCGCCAGCGTACCAATTTGTCCAGCCCCATGCACTGATGGGCTCCGTGGATTCTCTGGTGCTACGGCAACAAGAAGAGCAAAACTCTTCTTCAATTAAATGAATAGTATACAACGACCAGGAGAGATCCCCTGCGCAGGGCTCCAGTCAGAGATGGTTTGTCAAGAATGATGTAGCAGCTTGCAGACTCATGGGGCGACCAGACCATCCATTGGGATTAAGAGGTTTATGGAAAGGGATAGAGATGTCTAATAGAGGTAGAAGATAAGTGAAGGATAAGCTTAGAGCTTCTAGAGAGGTTGGAAGGAGGATGAATAAAGAGGATAGGAAGACTTGGATGGTGGACGTTTAGCACTAAATGGATAGCGGTCCCGAGTGAACTGTATCCACACTGTTCCACTCAGTCCCCGCCCCCTTCTAACACCCTAGTCCATGCCATGTCTAGTCTGCGTTTGAGGTCTGTTGTCGAGTTCGCAGCAATGACTTCATCTGGTAGTCTATTCCAATCATTCAAAACTCTCGTTGCGAACGAGGACACTCTGAGCCGAGTCCTAACTCTATCTTTGACGTGTTTTAAAGCTGCCCTCTCTGGTTCCTTATTTCACTGAGCTTGAGCGGCGCTCCATCCGGTACTTCCATGAACACCCTCATGATTTTTTACGCTTCCATCAAGTCTCCACGTCGTCTACGCCTGCTCAAAGAGAAAAGGTTTAAGGCTTTGAGACGCTTCTTGTCTTAAACCAAAAACCCATTTGGAGAAGCGACGCTGCACTGATTCTAACGTTTCCATGTCCTGGATCAGAAACGGGCTCCAAACCTGGACTCAGTGTTTGAATTGTGGGCGCACATCTACCATGTAAAGAGGGAGCAAGACTTCTGGTTTTCTAGAGCTTACCGCACGTCCTAGATGATGTGAGGCTCTGGATGCCCGGTTTGCTGCCTCTCGGTACTGGAGTCCAGACTTGAAGTCCGCACTGAGATCGACACCTAGGTCTCTGGCTATGGTTGCCGTGGGTATCTGTTGGGACTCGTCCGAGGGTCTCAGTGTCCTTCCACCTTGCATGCCTCCAGTTTTGAC